CCCCCCCCCCCAAATATCTTCTTGACCTAGTCTCCCTTCGATCCTCCATGCAACTAATTCACAACCCACGAACAAAATATGGTGACCCGCCCTCTGGAACAAACTCCAACCCCATATTCAAAATGCCCCATCCATTGAATCATTCAAAACCCTTCTCATAACCCACCTTTTTAATTAGTTATACTATACAGGAGGCGCACACAAATAGTTGATTCCATTCAACTGAATTGTATTGTATTAGTAATATTTTATTTCATTTTGTTGCTTTTAAGGTATTGAACATGTTGAATGATTATATTGAGTTATAAACTACCACCTGTGCGTTTACGCCTGTATAGCAAAGCGCCCTATAAATGTAATTATTATTGTTATCATGTGAAGGTTTACATAAGGTAATAAATAAATGTGTAATAAGGTCTGCAAGCACAGACTACATGTAGTATCTATATGCCATAATTGCACATTATGAATGATTGATACATGACACACACATGCAGAATTTATCAAGTGTTGAAATACAGCCAGGAAGATGAGCAATAAAGGTTTCAGCACACACTCAAGATTTCGAGGTTTATTTGTGTATGAAACCAAGACTTATTTGTCATTCATTTGTTTGTACGAACCTGTAAACAATATACTCTATGATATCGAACTGAAAGTCACCTTTGTTTCCTTGTGTGAAAGAGACTATCAATTAATGGAAATGAGTCAATGTTGACAAATCATATCATTCGTCTAAAAAATATCATGATCTTTATCGGGTTTAAAATAAAGGGTATGGTCAAACATACTTAAGTTAAAAAGGTGAAACAAAGTGAAAATGTCTTCACTGGGTTGAATTAGAATGATTTACTAACATATTTAAGTGTTATGCATTCTTTTTAAACAAAGGTTGTTCTCGACAACCAGAAGGCTTGCCTGAGGGTTGCTTCATGTATTTATTAATTAATAGTCAGCATCCTATAGTATAAGGGACACTTGTGAAACATGTTCAAATGGCTGTGAATCTGAGAAATCTCCAAATTACTAGAAAAAGGGGTTATTTGATGAAGGCAATATTAGTATGGAGAAAAAAAATAAGGCGAAGTCTCTCCAAAATTCTTTCATTCATTTATTTTTTTCTCTCATTTGATGAATCACCCTCACATATACTTATGTACGTTTACTTTTCTAATGCTTTACCCTCCCATGCCTTTCATAACAAAATGTACATAAACGTATACCAGAAAGGGGCGTTGATACCCTTCCTAATGATACTTAACATTTGTGTATCTTCCTCAAATTTATGCATATATTTATAAGCTAGTGTGGAATATAAATAGGCTTACTGTGTGTCCTTAATCTCTTGCTTATTGATTTAACATTGTTTATCATCACACTGAGAAAAGATCCTGTACTAAAGTATGTTCTATGAATGTATAATGTTTTAGAGATAACTAGAATGCTTGATTTATGCTCTGAATATTGTAGTATCCACATACGTGTTGCATCGAGCAATGTGCAATCTCCTATACATGGAACCTATACCGTTTGTTACCTGTGATGCCGGCACAGCGTAAGTAAACATCAAACAATCAATCAATCAATCCATCCATCCACCATTTGCTCAACAAACAAATAAATGAATAAATATATATATTTCAGAGCGTTTGGAACTTTTGTGTTGTGTAATTTTTAAAAGAAACATTGCATCATATGTTTTTGTCTTTTTAAACACCCTCCTTAAACAAATAGTGATAAAGGATGATTGTTACTAGTTATAAAACCTTAAACATAAAAAATACATGTAAAACGTTCTCAGGGTGTACAATGAATTATAATTCCCTTATCTTAAACACTAAAAAGGCCATGACATATGTTTTAAAGTTTTATTTTAGAACAGATTTCTCATGTTTTGATAACATGTGTAGTTTAGTTCAAGTTTATTTTGTTTCACATTTCACAAAAAAAGAATTCACATCATTGACAAAATTAGAACAGAATATAAATATACTAAAAGTGTCACATTATATAATCAATTCTTTGAAAAGACATCAAAATTAATTGTATTGAATAGAAGGTTATACAGGGTGAAATGTGAGGAACCTATTGAAAAGCTCAGCTTGTAGATTATAGGTTCCTATAAATAAAACTAACATTTGATTGAAGTGGTTGTAATGGTGAAGGACGTAACAATAATAATAGGTGGGCAAGAAGGCCTTAACATATTACAAAGTGAAACAAGCAAAAAATAGCAAATACAGCAAACAAATTAATTTGTTACCAAAGAAATGACACGATAGTCACTTTAGAATATTGAGGTCATTAAACGAGGTCATTGAACGAGGTCACTCAAGTAATATTATTGAATGATGTAATGTTATGTAAAGAATTAAGCATAGGGTAAGCTTTTGTATAAATTGATGTTCTGATTGATATGTAAACGTCTTGTAACGTCCAAAACAAATCAGAGCATACATTGTAAACTATCCTTTATAACAAACATGTTAAAGAGAGGCTAGAGAGCATGTGTATAAGTGAATTTTCTAAGGAGTTTTGATGGCTACAATTGCTATCTGCTTCATATCTTACTCAGTTAAATAACATACACATTTTAATTAAGTGTAATGAAAAGTATGCCTTTAATACATACAATTAGTATTTGATAAAGAAAACTAAATTGATGTATGATTGTATGTATGTAAATGCACATATAATATGTAGATTTATGTTTTGAATAATGTTAAAGAAGGGTTTTGCTGCAAAGAGTTAATGTCACAGACCGATGATACCAAAACAAAGGCAATAAAACTAACATAAACTATGATGTTAACAGTGTGTAACGTCCGGAACACTGAAGGTGTTTCATATGGAAATCATTAGGCAATGCACTGGTTCCCAATTTGTCTGTATGTATCTACCTTTTCTCATCAGTTGTTAAAGAGAATACATTTGACCCGAATAAAATACATTTTACCAAATGAAATAAAAACCTACTACTGTCAAACCCAAAAATTTAAAGGTATTTTTCAATTAGAAGTGATGTCAAATCTTTATTTTTCAAGATAGAAACTAGAAAAATTGCAAAAATAATATCTTTAACATATTCTACAAGATCAACATATTTGTTGAGGGCTCATATTTTTGAGAAGTGCAAATTTGGAGCTTAATTTTTCGCTGAATCTTTTCACCAGATATGAATACTATGGCCCGTATTCTGAAGTCGCGTCTAACTCCTGTTTATTCATATCTAGTGAATATGAATAGTCCTGGGACCTGTTTCACAAAGCCTTTTTTGAATGACAAATAACAAAAGTTAGTGACAAATCTGTTAACAACCAATCAGAAGCAAGTATTTCAGTAGCTAATAACAAAGACTTTCATTGTCTCTGATGACAAGTTTTGTGAAACAGGACCCTGATCCTACAAATACATGTTTGAAGTTTTTAAACAATTCCATTTTTACCATCTTGGGGAACACATTTGGTTTATGTTTTAAAAAAACAGAGGGCTCCACATTTATTCATGTGCAAGTCAAGAGTATCCTGATTTGTTTATGTTGTTTATATTTATTACCTAGTATATTTCATGTAATGTATAATCATTCAAAATCATCATTTCAAAATCAATATAAAACATAAGTTAGATGCATGTACATGTTTGTGTACATAAATTTCAATATGAAACTATATTACTTATATGAACAGGTCTATGCTCTCACACTGATGTGGATCTATTTCCTAGAACCATCAATGTATAACTTTTATTTTAACAACTAAATTCTATATTTTAATTTTATTATTGCAAAATCATGTCCTGAATGAAGTATGTTAAACTTTAACTCATGTGTATTTTACTTTCTTTCTTGAATCACTTGATGGTCGTATGCCCACAATTATACAATTTTTACACAACTGCGCCAGGAGTGTCTTTTTGACAGGCATGGGGCATTATAAATGTTCACTATTATTATTATTAAGTAATAAACAAGGGAGAGCCCTGTGCATATTTATATAATATTAAATGGCCTTGAGTGAGGTACAAGGGTACAGCCCAGCACTACTCAACCAATGGGTCGTGGCCAACTGGGGAACACAATAAAGCTGCAAATTAGCTACATGTACATGTAATATTACATTTGAAAAATGTTATCAAAGATTTACGTCTTCATGAAATGTGGGTAAGTAGTGGCGTAGAAGCAATACAATTGACACTGGCACAAGACATTTATTTACCATATAATTCATTCTCTATTTTCTTGTGTCACGTTTTATAGCTATTTTTTTCTTCTCATTAATTTTCTATATGGTGGGCCTCAAAATTATTTTAAGACCAAATTCGTTAGCATAATTTTAAGGGTCAGCACAATGAGTGAAATATTCTCAAAGCGAGTGCGATATACCCTTGTATCTCAAGTAAGAAAAGCTCTTGACTATCATTATTGATTTTAAGAAATCTAGTACCTCACTTTTCTACATAACATCTTGATTTTTTTGTAATAACTTCAACATTAAACACATCGAGCAAAACATACTTTGCCCTTGCTCAACAATTTAGCAAGGGCTGGGTTCATACATCCAGTAGGGTGCTTTCGCAAACACGACGGAAGGCGAAGACAACGGTAGTGCCAGCGAAAAAACAATCTGCCCATGCGCGAACCAGAATTTTCACCGTCTTGTTGATTTTCAAGACCGTACGCGGCCATGATAGCGTTCATTCCATGAACACGACGGAAGAGCTGTATACAGTATCCCTGTAATTCTCCCGTCATCTTTGCTTGTCGTGTTTGCGAAAGCGCTCAAGTGTCTTAACCTAAGCATACATACAACATCCTCATTTTATATCCTGCTTCTGATAAATGCAAATCAAATCAGTTATGAATACCCTGATTGTGATTGGGTTTTCTTTAAGTCCCACTGCACTAGTTTGGCTAGGAGAGATTAGACCTCCCTGCATGGTCACTGATAGGTGGTCATCTCATCAAACCAGCTCTCAATTAACATTAGAAAAAGAGGATCATGGGGGACCAATGGTCACCGATTAGGCATTGTTTGCTATATAGAGGGCGCAAGTAGCTGTAAGTAGTGCAGTGGGGCTTTAATGTATATTCTTCTATACGAATACTTTCAAACATGTATCTCTGTCATGAAATACACTGTAAGGGTATCTGTACAACAACAAAAAAATGAGCACAAAAAAAAATACTCTTCATGGAGATATAATGTCGTGCCAATTTTAATAGCAGTCTAAGAGATTTTCATCTTTCTCATCTGCTGCAGCAAGAATATCCATCATGAGTGATACTGGTCCCTCCACATTGTCCGACTCCCTATGATTTAATAGATCATTCCAATCATTCTCAAACAACTGTCCAATCAAATCACACACAGATTGTCTATCAATGTCGCTAACACTGCTATCAGTCAAGGTGCCAGGTGATCCTGTTGTAAGGATGTCTGCTCCAGTAACGATGCTACTACCGGTAGTCGTCACTTGCTTATTTACAGAGCATTGGTCTTTCTGTTCGCTAGAAACACTGTTTTCAGTTCTGTCTTCTTGACTACTTTGAGCAGGAGACTCCATTTTCTTGAAAAGATCACCAAGAGCCACTTTCAAGCTCTGTAGCATCTCACAAGCTTTGCGAGCCACACTTACATCCTCATCACGACTTCCCCTCTCTATTTTAGCCAAGCATCCAGTCCTAGAGAAAAAACACACAAGCACTTTCATTTCCTCATCTCCGAGAAGTTCTTCAATTTTTGTCCTTTGCATAGGACGATAGGATTGGATTGAAGATGAGGCATGTGTGGAGTCATATCCTGGAATATAATGATTCAGCAGATGGAGAAAGAAATCAAGAGCATGCAGTTTCATCTCCCAATCAAAGTCACATGTTGCTATGGAGACTGCATCCAGAACCATCCCACCTAATGTCCCACACTCCTCATCCCTCGCCTTCTGTTCTGGCTTCCTCTTCTTCTGCAAAGCAGATTTGTGTAGGGAAGAAGAAGTGGTCTCACCACTGTCATCGGTCGTTGCGAAAAGTGCATCACTGATCATCTCAGCTACTGTCAAAAACCCCTCATCCTTCACCTTCTCCTCTGGATTCGTTTGCTCTTGAGTTACAGAATCTTCCCCTGAACCAGAGCATGATGTTACACCGCTACCATCTGTTGTTTGGCCTTGCAGACTCACACCATCACTGTCCTGACCCTTACCCTCTGTGGTATCCTGGAGTGGTGGTGATGATGGTTTATCGGTCTTGCTCTTGGTGATGATGTTCTTGATGCTCTCCTGCATCCAAGCCTCATCCTTGAGCCAGGTCAGGAGACAGCCAATAGCAGCTCTTCTGGGAAAGGCTTCACTGTCCGATTTGATGACCTCTGTCAACTTGGCAATGACCTCTACCTGTAATAATATTCATACAAATAATAATAATAATAGACCGTACTTTTATAGTGCATATCACAATATGTCTCTATGCGCATATTCACACATCTGTATGTTTAACGCTCAAAAGGTAAGCCCACAATCATCTTTTAGCACACAGAACTTAACTTATGTTGCCATAATGGGGCGTTGTGGCTTGCGCCTGTAATCCAGCTAATAATGGAAGTTACAAATTGATTCAGCCTAGGATGCAGGTTAGAAACTGAGTCACGTCTTTCGGATGGTGACGTTAAAGGTCGGTCCCCAGATTTAAATAATCATATCTGATTGATACACGTCTGTAAAAACCTAATACATAAGTCTACACACTCTTTCCCTTTGAGTTTGATATGGAATGATACAGGTACTTGAAGGCATGTCTTCAGATATTTGTGAATGTAGGACATGATATATTGTTATGGAACATGGTAAACAATATTACCTTGCTGTTTTCAAAGAAATACAGCTGAATTTCAATGTACAAACAGATCCTGCTCTACTAGATAAAGGGCTTTCTTGACATTCAATTTTGCCTCATGCTTTTCACATTTAATTGTGATCAACGTTGCAGAAGCTTAAAAAGCCTGACCAGAGGTTGCCAAAGAAACTGTTACAAGCACTTTAGATGAAAATTAGCAGAATATTGTATAGTTGAGAAAAAATATATGATTTCTATTGATAACATTGTGTGTCAATTGTGTTTGTTCTCACAACTTTAGTTTGATGTTTGAATGTAAATAGACACCTCATTAGAGGCACACACAAAAAGAAAATCTCGAGAAATCCATAAAATATCAAGCTTTAAAAAATTTGCTGACAATAAATTATGCCTCATGCTTCCCACATTTGATTCTCATCATGAACATTGCAGGACTTCAGACAGGACCCAGCTTCAAGGCTGGGTCTTGGCCATTGACTTCCAATATGTGACTGTTTGGTGATTCAAGCTGAGGGCAGGTCAAGGCAGGAAATATTTGTATTTCTTGTTTTCCTACACTTTCATAGTATTATGGGGTAATTTTTATCTACCTCATCATGATTCTGATTCAGTGACAATCGATTGATTGCTTGATTGAATAAGTGATTAATAGATTAAATAATCCCATTTGACCATATAATATTAAAAACATTGATTTTGAATGCACAGGTAGGGTGTCAAGTCAGTCCAGTTCAAGTTGTGACTTGGACTCAGACAGTCTGGACTCAGACTTGGACTTGGACTTGGGACATTGTAACTTATCCTCGCTCATGGGCTTGGAGGCTGGCGACCTGGGCTCAGTCTTGACCTTTGAAGTTGTGGCCTCAAAATCACCACAACTGAAAACCTACTATGCAATACATGTCCCAGGTTTAACAATGTGCAGCAGTACTAATCCTAGTTGTCATGACAAAATATTGCAGTAAAAAGGTACTTTGTGTAATACTTCAACGAAGTACCTACCTGTGTAATACGACTGCTGGTCAGTACGTCTTCCCATAATTCCTTACTGCTTCCAAGGACAGGAAGTGCTTGAAGGGTGCTTGACCTGACATAGCTCTCACTGTCTGCTAGACTCTCCCACAGCCTTCTATGCAGGTTGTTCCGCTTCAGCCATTCCTTAACAGGATCTAAATACATCATGGAGTCAATGTGAATGTATACAAGATTTAGAAAAAAGAAGCAGCTGACTATGTTGCTTATCATGTAATAAGACTATTGCATGACTTTGACATCTGCTCTGGTGACAATTTCTCTTAGATTTATTTTGACTAAGATATATGGGTTAGGATTGGGGTTCCAATTCACCCTACCACCAACAGCATCAAATGGCGAGGACATTAAAGCGCACTACACTGTTTGGCTGTGCATTTGTACTGCAATGTCATTCAAAGCAAATGGCAGCCCCCATGACTGTGCAATTATTGGCCTGTTGATCAGGTATTTTGCTTATCTATTGACTTATATGTGTATTGCCAACACGTTTTTTAAAACTAATAATCAATGTTTTGAAGATCATGCATTGGTGATATATGCACAGCGCTTGGTTGAGTCACAATGAGCCGGATAGTGAATTTGACAAACTTCATTATTGAACCGATTGTGACTTAACCTGCAAGCATTGCATATTCACTAATGCACTTGCATGCATTTATCATTTTTATACGACACCTATTAAATCCTTGTCATTTGATTGGAGGATTGTTGGTCACATGTTTTTCCATAGATATACTATTGCACAAGCTTGCATTTTTGGTACTATTAGTTGTAGTACTATTCAACGAGCGTGCATTTTTGGTTATATGCAGACTGCGTACTTCTCTGCCCTGCGCATTTCCCACTGTTATATTAGCTGCGTGCATCTGACGTGAAGGCAATCCAAATGTAATCGAGAAGGCCTGACTCCAACTTTAATTTATCTTTAATATAAAGAGTAAAAGCACAATTTGTTAAAAGATTAAAATTTTACATCCACTTCGATGTTGTATAAAACAAATAATGAATGTTTTTCATTCGTTCAAAAGTGCAAATTTGTTCATACGTTGAAAAATTAACATTAATTCTATTGACGCCTCGTTGAATAGAACGTGAATTTTTTAACTCATGAAAAGATTTGCACTATTGAACTCATAAGCATTGATTATTTGTACTAGAGTACAGTATTAATGTACCCACCAGACTTTTTCTGCAGCAGCTTGCCCACACACGTTATGGTGGAGTCTCTGACCTCCCATTCTATGTTACACATGCGCTTCTGAAGGGCGTAGCCAACCTCCATCATCAGGGCATCCCTCTTGGTGTTCTCTATGGAGACCGGATGTTCTTTGGTTTCCATGGCAGCTGGTACGAGGTCAGGGACAATTGTCAGAATTTTCAAGATGACCTGGATGTAGATGATGAAGAATTGGAAAGCGGATTGGAGTGAGTAGAAAAAAAGCTTTGGCTACAACGAATTCTAACATACCGGTAATGGTTAAGAATTATAAAAAATGAGTTGTATGTTTCACTGACAAATTCTAGACAAATTTTCTATCAATAGATCTTCTTCAAAATACTCATACAAGGTATGTATATACTAAGGAAAATATTAGAAGACCAATAATTATCCCTTTAAAAGGGCTCAACACTAACAGGCAAACAGGAAACATGGGCGCCCAAACTCAAACTCTACCCCTAAAAACTGTCAAGTTCTTAACATCGGGCTCATGCATACACACTCTAAAGTGTTCAATTCCAGACCTCCTTCCAAAACTGTTAGAGTAGAGCCATGTCTTTAATACAATATAGATACTTTCTCTATTTAATTTCACTCATTTTTTCTATATTCCTAATACAAAGTAATCATCAACAAATACCAACATGTAATATATTTCCTTTCATTGATTCCTAAATTTCTTAATACAAAGTAATCATTTGAAAAAGAAAAACATTAATTTAAACATCATAATAATCCCTTCAGAATGCCACTTCTTAATTCTATACATATAAGTCAATCATAAAGCAAGAAATTGAATAGCAAAAGTCATGACATTCCTTTCAACATATGGTATCTATACCTGGTATTCTGCATCTGGGTTCTTGAGTATAGTGTTGATAGTAGCTACAAGCAACCAGATATCAGGACTCAAACAAGCTCCTGGAGACAGAAAAATACACACAATGTTAAAACACTCCACGATATTATACTAGAAAGCACAGGATGATATTTGTATAAGTTTAAAAAAATACATTTTATTTCAATTTTTAGTTTATTCATGTTTCCAACAAAACATTACAAATCAATCATAAGCATTTAAAACAAATGAAGAAATAACTGTTGGAAACCAACTCATACTATGGGTATCGTGGTAAAGTGGTTCATTCACTTGACTCTCAATCCAAAGGTTATGGGTTCAAATCCCAGCCCGACACTAACATCCTCTGGGAAGACATAAATCCATATTTGCCATACTCCATTCAAGTGTTCATGGTACCTGGCAATTCTTGAGGTAATAACAATTGCAGAGCCTTCTGGAAGAATAGCATTGATGTTGATGAGGCTTCCCAAGGTAAACATAATTATCATTATCCATGTGATGGTCTTTAAGAATATATACAATTACAAGAACACCACATCTAATTCATAAGTGTTTCCCCTAACAACTCCGTGGTTGTTCATGGAAGTCAAATAGGTATACAACAGACAATGTCTTTACCCTCCTACAAATATTGCAAATATTGAGTCCCACATTAAGTCATCAGCTAGAGTAGGAGAAGAGAATGGGGAATGATATCTGCATCGTGAAATGATCAAAACATAGAGTACGGTGGACATACGGTCCTATATAATTTTTGTCATTAAAATTAAAGTGCACATTTTCATGCTTGGGTGTATTCCAATTTCTATCCCATGCCTCAACTCTTTGTGCAGATCTAACACAAATCAATAATCAATAAAGTAGATTCCTAAAAAAAAGTAACACCATATCCGATAATAAAAGATGTGTGTATAACTCCATACCTGTTAAACTGACATGAGCTAGATCTAGCAATGATGTCACAATCTTCCTTGAACCAATCAAGGACTTGTAATCAGGCATTACTCCTTTTGATTGGCTGGTTTTCTTTGCATTAGGAGTGAATGCATTCAGCAGTACCGCTGCAAGATGGAATACTTGAGAGGCAGGTAAGCACGGCAAGCAGTGACCCTGGATTTAAAAAGAAAGACACAACAAAGCACAAGATTGACATGATGTTTATGACACATAATGGTTGGGATTGGTATGCAGCAGATTACAGTCAAACCTGTCTATAGCAACTTCCCAAGGGAAACACAAAAAGTGGTCTTTTTAGACAGGTGGTCTTTGTAGACAGGTTCCTTTAGTACATGTTTCAATGAGAAACCATTTTCAAGGGAAACAAAAAATGTGCTTGTTGTAGTCAGGTGGTCTTTGTAGACAGGTGGTCACTAAAGCAGGTTTGACTGTATATTTTAAGCCTCAGTCACAAATGCCATTACGAACTGCTACAAACGCTGTATGAACGATTTTCAGACAATGGACATTCTGGAAGACAATGGAAAAACAGGGAGATTCGTACGAAATTAACGTTCGTACGAACCTTTGTGACCATAGCATAAGTTACAGTATATGTTTGTGCCAAGGATGACCAGAAAATGCCTTTCTAAAAATATACAATATACAGCTCTGGCATTTCTTTAACTATATGTAGACATCTTCACACATTTCAGTACTTTTTTGTTTTTATCACCAGTAATACACGTAGGTGATACAATATCTCTCTGTTACTTCTTGATCATTTCAAGACAAAAACTACAAAATTAATGATTTGACTAAATCACTATATGTAGACATCTTGACACTTTTCAGTATGTTTATTGTTTTTATCATCAGTAATACACGTAGGTGATAAAATCTCTCTCTGTTATTTCTTGATAATTTCAAGACAAAACTACAAAATTAATGATTTGACTAAATCACTATCCATGCCCCTTTGCCACGTAAACAAAAATACATTAAAAGAAGAGCAAGTAATACAAACGCAGTGGACAAGCAGAGCTCAGGCGCACAGTTTTCTCAACGACAATTGATTTGACGGATATAAACAATACTACTTCTACTAAACAGACAGACATAAATAGTAAATTTTGACTGAACGCCCAAAATACAAACAACAACAACGGACAAACTGAAGCTCTTCGTCTTGCACACACATGAGTGTAAATGAGCAGGAAAACCATTATGAGCAGATGAGTAGAAATGAAAAAGATACATCTCAATATTAATGTATTCAAGTTTCAAAACAATAATAATAATAATAATACATATGATTTATAAGGCGCCAAATCCACTTGACAGTCAAATGCTCAAGGCGCAGCTTGTGCAAAAGATGAAATACATACATGATACATTTATACAAAGTGCGATAGGAAAGGTACAGACATGAAAGGTAATGGTAATCAATTATAAGCTAAATTAAACAGATATTTCTTAAGATTGTTTTTTAACACCTCAGCAGAACTGCTATTCTTAACCCATTGAGGGAGAGTATTCCATAACGAAGGCCCAGCATGAGCGAAGGTTCGTTCCCCCCACTTTGTTTTAACCCTAGGAGTAACAAGTAAGCCAGAGTTTTGAGAACGTAGCTGTCTAGAAGGAAAGTAATGCTTAATCAAGCCGATGTTATACTGCGGAGCAGAGCCATGTATACAGTGAAATAATAGCAAAATAATCTTGAAAACAACACAATAGGATAGGGAAGGATAAAAGGATGCAAAAAGGAGAAGAGAAAGGTGGGAGAAAGTTAACATGGACAGACGATTATATGACCTACTCCCACACAACTCAATGTCACAAAGGCCCTTCTTTCTTGCATTTCATCTGCCTAATGTCTCTTGGGTCATGTTATTCGAAAGAATGGTCTTGAAAATCTTGCACTGACTTGAAGAATCGAGAGGAGGAGGAGTAGGGGGTATAAGGAGGATTCTGTGGATGAGTAGCTTAAGGAGTGGGATTTCTGAATGTGGAATTGATCTCGGGAGAATGAATTACTTCATAGAATATGGGACAGAGTTGTGGCATTCCATGGTCGCCAACGTCTCAGGACATGGCACGTAAAAATGTGAGAATGCACTGCATGCCCCCCCCCCCCTCACGAAACCAGTGACCTCCACCCATGCTACACCCCTGTGCAGGTATGTAGTTACCTCTTTAACAAAGTCCCCTAATGCTGATAAAGCAGTGCAGATGATGGAAGGAGAGTGTCTTCCGCTGCTCATCTTCAATCCAAGTTCTTCTAAGACATCTTGGTCCAGAATCACCTCAGTCTTTAGAGGGCTTCTCTCCAGGATCACACAGACTGGACCCACTAGGACAGAGAAGGCGCTCTGCACTGAGGATGCTGCATCAGGTTTAGAGCTGTCAAAATGAGTGTAAGAGTTCATGTGTTACTTGTTAAGTTCAGCTTTGCGGCCATGTATCAAATAATTTGTCCATAAAATGAAGAGCTTAATTCCAAAAGGAGCTAAATCAACTTTTGATGAAAATTGAGTTATTGATATCAGTACCCGTCTTTCAACAAAATTATTTATGGAAAAATGCACCTTCTAATATCATTTTTATATCACGCCTGTACAAAATCTGGTAAACAATTTCTTTTTTCTCTGAAGTTACAAAAATGGATTTAGCTCCTTTTGGAATCAAACTCTTCAAATATGGATGCATTGCATTGCTATCCATGCACAGCACTAGGTGTTTTTGTTTACAGCATATAAATTCACTGCATTCGATACCAAATTTAATCAATAGTAATGGCCTCATCCAACTTTTGACATGGTGCTACACAGCTTTATGATCTTACTCACCTTTGAGGTATGGTGCTACATAGCTTAAGGACGCTGAAGGCAAGATGAATGGCAGGCTTGACAAGTCCTTTCTTAGCCAACTCATACGGCAGTGATTGAACATCCAACAAGAGTGATGATGTCAGGGATGAGCACATTTTGCTGTTGACAACAAACAAGAAATCAAATCATATTTAAAGGAAAATAGTTCTTAACTTAGGGGCAGTGACTCCTGCAACCTTGTGTCTGGGGATTTTTTAGGGGGTTGTTAAGAAAGTATTAAAACAAAGGATCGTTCATGAAATAATACTATTTATTTCACATGTAATCAAGGGGTAACTGCTTTGATCAATAACTGTATTTGTAGGCAGAGTTATTTTCAATTGAGTTAAGAATTCAAGTCAGCGCTGTTGTTGGGGGAATTATTGTATGAGAAGGTAGAAAGACGTATGTACATCTCTAGAGTATGTATAACTAATGAAGCCAATCCCAGTGCGTTTCCTATATGAAAATTAGAAAATTATGATCCTATACAATTATCACACTATATAGCACGATAGAAACTAAATTCCAAAGAAACTTATGGATTTAATATATATCTGTAAAGCTCACTGAAATGCGCTATATAAGAACAAGCTATTATTATTATTTGGTATGGATATTAGAGAGAAAATTATGCATGCTTAGTTGTCTATTGTCTTTATAGAAAGACATGCATTACAGTTAGGCCATGATCATCATGAACAGCTTCGTCAACGACATATTCACTAGGAATAAAACAATAAAAATAACCAGTTTGATACAGTTTTATTTTGGTACAATATGCTATTTCCATATGCTGCATCCTAGGTTTCCTAATATTATCTCAGCCTTAGTTAAAGTTTGAATGGATATTTTACAGTTAAAGATGAGTTCTGGTCATGCGACTACATTGTGAAAGAAAGGGTGTGGAATCGACCAGAAAAGGTGGATCATCTAGCATAAGTATAGGTGTGCACTGCAAGGTTCTGGAATCATCAAAATGATAAGAAATTTGGCTAGGCTTTGTAAAGTTACAAACACTGTACACAGAAAGATGTATATGGGACTACACAAACACATAGCGTAAAAATCCATCCCAATTTTTATGATGTTACATGACATACATGTATTTAGAATATGAAGGCATGTGAAGAGCCATGCTTTTCAGGGAACATGTTTTATCTGATGTTCTTCCACACTTGCATAATACAATGATAACGCTCACAAATTATTTTTCACCTCTTCCCAGAACTCAACCTTCTCTTTAATATTAAACATACCTTTCAAGCTGAAGGAGACATCCAAGAAATTCCACCACATCATCACACAACTTATCACAGAGCAGGCCCTCCATAGAGAGAAGTCGTTTGCACCTTGTTGTCATAGCAACATCTTTTAGGAGGTGGAGTCCTCTTGACTTCAGATCTCCGTCAGCTGCATCCTGGAGTACACATCTGAACACTCCTAGACTCAGGATGGTCTTTATCTCACTGTCCGATGGCCGAGGAGAGACCTGAAGCAATGCCTGCTCGTGACTGTCGGAGGCTTTTAAACCTAGCAGCAAGCTTGCCAGGATTGGCGCTGCCTCTTCACTCTTCATAAGGGTTTTAGATAGCTGGATGACTTCTAGATCACTAGCGCTTCCAGCAATGCCATCGCAGCTAGCTGATAGTCGAGATTTCTTTTGGGCCCTACTGTCTGATTCCTCATCTTCTTCATCCAGTTTGCGCTTGACACCTTCACCATCACCTCCCCCAGCATCATCACCATTGATCTTCATGTCTTGATCATCCTGGACAGGTCCATCACCATCCGCCATCTTGCTACTCCCTTCTCCAGGACAGTCCTGCACCATCTCCTGCAGGCTGCTGGGTTCCTGTCCATCATTGGACATGGCCTTCTGCAGTTCTTTGGGTGTCTTCGGCGTGTCTTGTCTGTATTGGAGGATCAGTATTCGAGCAAGGAAGTTCTGAGATGATTTCACCACGAACATGCTTGTGTCTTTCAGGAGATCCATCGCTATCCGTAAAGCATCTACAAGGATATAGTAAAAAAAAAAATTAAAATAGCTAAATGGAAATAAAGAGCCGTGAAATAAAGCGATACATTTCATTTAGTGGTGGGAGTTGGGCAGACCGAGTCCTGGTCACTCAAGTGAAACCGACGATAGATTCTTGTTTAAAACACATACTTCTGCTTCTTCCATCACTGTTGAAATGGTCTTAACAGCACTCATAATGAAACTGAAACTTGTAGGTCAAAACTTATCAGATATTCCCGTCTTTTCAGGTTCCGGCCCGGTTCCAGGTACAGGAAAAAATATTGATAATTTTCTGGTCCAGGCTTTTCTCTTTAGCTCCCGGCAATAATTCTATTTCATCCTCAAACTCGTTATCAAATCATCCTCAGTGCAATTTAGGGTAGCATTTGAACAATGAGCGATTTGAAAGGCATTCGAGCAATAATAAAGAAGTGAAAGATTAAGGCAATGCCCCTGCCCTGTCTTTGAATAGTAAGGGATTACTCCATAAACTTATAATCAAGAGGAATGGCATTCATTTTCCAAAAAAATGTTGAATATCAATTGAATGTATACAAGGCATTTTTTTTTTACAGTTTAAACGACAAAAACATAATCAATGAAAATGGGTATCCTATGGTTTGACATCAATGTCCATCAGACTTGAATCTCATGGCACGTGATGGACATAGGGGGATGACCGACCTGTTTGAATGCAGATTGTCCAGAATTTCTCAATGTCATTGAGTGTGCGTAGAGAGGCAAGCCATGCTTCCTTCATGCAAGGGTCTGAGAAGAAGTCTGCACTGCTCGCCCGCTTCAACATTCTCACCAAAAGACCTCCTCCTCCTGAAGACATTAATAGGAAAATAATGAGAAAGGTGTTAGGTATAGGAAGGGAGGACTTTTGTCATGGTGTCTTACTTCAATCCTCCCGCGGTACTAATCATACTTTGGCAAGACATTAATCTACATTTGCCATTCTCCACCCAGGTGTGAAATGGGTACAACTACAATGCAAACATGAATGTGGTTTGATTGTAAAATGGCGTCCGACCGGAATACTACCCAGGAAGCAGAGAATGTGCACTATCATGTACAGATTAGCAACTAGGGTAACAATTATTGTGATGTATAGTGCTTAGAAACGTTTTATACAATTGTGACTATTATTATTAATTTTGTGCACACTGTGTCTGTGATTGTAAATACCGATTCAGTATTGATTTGAAATAGAGACAGCCAGAACTGCTCTCTATGCAGTAAAAGGATAAAGGTCACTGTATTTTACAACCTCAAACTTAAATCCAAAGACTGCTGTAAAAAAAAAAAAAAAAGGGGGGGGGGGGCTCTCAGCTTTTGACTAGTATATAGAAACACAATTTATATTATCATTACATTCTTTGAAATTTATGGAATAGAGATATATTTTAGAATAAAAGGTTCAGCCTGATTCAAATTGAATTCAACAATAAGTAGAGAAAACATGGAATGACATAACATCATGATGTTCATTGATTTTTCAAACAAAGCATCAATATATGGGGTGTGGAGAATGGCATCCCCCTTCCTCTCCCTCCAGTATTTCTTAACAAATCACACAAATATAAGTTGTCCTTTTTCCACTGTTCTTCTTTCCTTTCTTTGTCAGCATTTCAGCAAAATTGCTCTAATGACCTAAGTTCTAGATGAGCAAAATCCCTGTCTCCAACCCTCCTTTCAAACTCATCTTGAAAAGAGGTATAATGTAAAGAGCTACAGTGAAGTTACCTTCTGAATTGTTGTGATCATCACCTTTAGTCAACCGATTCAGAAGCTCCTGATTGGATGACAGGCATCTGACTAGCTGGAGGGCAAAGGTTAAAGCGCAAGGGTCAAATTGATGAGGTTCCTTGACACAGCATGCCTCCAAGAAGTCAAACACGTGCTTCACACCAGCCTCCTCTTTGCAGATATCTACACAAACAAAACAAGTTTCTTAGAGATAAATGTCACATCCTTTATTCTTATTGCTTTAAATGTTTCATTGTTGTATAATCAATCTTGAAAAAAACTTTGGATCATGAAGAGAAACGTTTGTGTTTTCAATTTCTTGTGACCTACACATTGCAAAACTTTAGCCATTTAGTGATGATAGTATGAAGACTACCGGTATAGGTCTCTCACTCAGAAAATATGATATTCTTCCTTTAGCAGTATGCCTTGGGGTCTAGCCCAAGAACAATTCACTGAGACTTTGGTGGTAAGCAGTTTATAAGCACCGTTATTATTATTATTATTACTATATTGCACGGTTTCAAACGGACCAAAATAATCTTCTACAGTTAAAAACTGTTTCCTTAGCATAGGTGAACAATTCAGAATACCCTGCCATACAAGTAACACTGAACCTATCCCTGCCCATAGAACCTACCCTAACATTAACCCTAAAACAGTGTATTGATGCATAAATAGATAGAAACCTAAATCTATAGAAATCTAAATATCTACACAAATTTACCTTTTTGGCTGAAAATAGTCTTGCAGTACTCGAGCAATCTTTGCAGGCTTGTATCGTCCACGATCTTCTTGCTTGGATCAAGCAAGACATCGAGTACTTGGCCCAGATACCGGAGAGTGAGGGCGTCAGAATTCTCTCTCTCTGCTTCAATCACCATGCTCTCTAAATCAGTCATAATTTGCACTCTGCAATAAGAGTAAACAATAACAGTGACAATTCAATTTTTTAATTAAGCATTTTGCACAATTACGGCAATAGCAAAGGAAAACAACAAGGGATTTGCAACTTAAAGTCAATGCAGAAATCAGTTGACATCTACTCTTTTTAACGCAATGAAGCTGCTGGGATTATTTCTTAAATTTATAGAAAAAATTTGTGCAATAAACTTTGTACAGGCAGTACAGGACAAGTGTAATTTACAACCTTAGTGCCATTAAAAAATTTATTGTAGATGACTGGGCATCATAGGAAAGACATGCTCTTAAATTATGATGCATTCAGATAGGTCTATTCCTAGGGTATTTGTAATGCCAAAATCTTATCCTATGGTCTTCCTACGGAGATACAATGTACATATTATCACCAATTTGAAGTTGATACCTCAAGTGGTTCTTGAGATATCGTGATAACCAGGATAATACCAGTATTCTCAGAAATTTGATCTTGATGACCTTTTACCTACATACCCCCAAATATTTTGAGATTGTCTTCAATCACAATGAGAATAAAACCATTTTGCAATGCAGGGTCATCCATATTGCCTGATGGTTAATTTCTTGACCCACTTTGTGTAACGCGAGTAACCAAACAACTAAGAAAGTTTTTTCACTTAACCCGTTGACTACTGAATGGTTTAGGTCCCATAGGCTTAACACAGGGACCACCAGGTTCCCGTAAGCAAAGGGTTAAAAAGTAGACTCTGGAGACTTCAAACACTCGTTTTTTAATTCTCTTCCTCTGAAAAACAAGGTGAGAGTGATGCAGCACCTTTCTTTGGCTAGCTGGAGATGAGGCCTGAACTGGTAATTCAAGGCTTTCATCAGGAGATGAGACAAAAGATGAGTCAGTCTACGTGATTCAAGGAGTTATCAGGTGTTTGCTTCACCAAGTTCAGTTGTTACGAACTTTATACATATTCATATCATATATTATAATGTTAATTATGGGCTTGCGCAGAGGACAGAATTATAAAAGACTTCATGTTTTATTTAAAAACCTACGACTGTCTGTAAAGCCAAGGGTATTTTGTTATTGTTGTTTTGAATTCATACCATTGTTACTGATGTGTTGTTAAGATTTTATAATATGGTTTTATGATTTAATGTCACCTTATTGTGACATGGTCCTGATGGCTTTGATCTGACAATGTTGGGTATACCACAGTGGTAACATACGGTATCCATATCACTGAGCTGTTTGCTAGAGACTTGTACTCGGTCATATACACTCTGAGCTGAGTGGAACCATTATTCACAAGGGCCTTCATACTCATACTAGTCTATATCAGTGGACTCCCTTGGTCTTCCAACTTCCAAGACACTCCCTTTACTTACTTGTGGAAAAAAAGCCACATGGATACTTGAGCTTTTTGGGGCATGTTGTGTTAAAATGCTCAATTCAAGTAATCATAGAAAATTTGGTCTGGTTTCTGGACGATAAATTTCGACCTAGATCTAGAGTCTAGCCCCCCCCCCCCCCCCCCCCCCACAACAACAACAACAAATTTGGAAATATTGAGATTAGATCATCAGTAATACATTTGCTACAATAGAGTAGACCTATTACAACAACAAAAAATCAAAATTTTAACAAATCTAAAAAATTGTCAACCGAGAGAAAAACAAAGGATTGCCAAGACGGAATAACGACAACATGATTGTAAACGAATGGGTCTAGACTCTAGATCTAGGTATACACAACAATACATGCAGCGACTGTCTGCTGACCTACATAACATTTGTTTTTTTAATCGGTTTATTCAAAGTACGCTTAACAAATTTTACCCCAATTTTTAGTTGAGAATGTCTAGTTAAATATCATAGGTAAATATTGTGATCATAATTCAATGAAATGTGAAATAATGGGTTGATTACCTGGCTTACGATCAGCTCATAAAAAAAAAAATTTGGCGACGGTGTCCTTGGAGGGTCAAAGTAAAATTAAAAAATTTTCTAGTCTCGCATAGCTAACAGTTTCGCTCCGACGCACAATGCGTCGATAGTAGTACTCCGGGCATTTACTGAATCATATTTTTCTTTCTTCCCTTCTTCTTCTTCACCTTCTCTCTTTATTCTTTTTCTTCTTCTTCTTCTTCTTCTTCTTCTTCTTCTTCTTCTTTAATTCTTCTTCTTCTTCTTCTTCTTCTTCTTCTTCTTCTTCTTCTTCTTCTTCTTCTTCTTCTTCTTCTTCTTCTTCTTCTAGCTTCTTCTTCTTCTTCTTCTTCTTCTTCTTCTTCTTCTTCTTCTTCTTCTTCTTCTTCTTCTTCTTCTTCTTCTTCTTCTTCTTCTTCTTCTTCTTCTTCTTCTTCTTCTTCTTCTTCTTCTTCTTCTTCTTCTTCTTCTTCTTCTTCTTCTTCTTTTTTTTGTTGTTGTAATGTTTAACATGAACAAACATTAATGAATGATGGTACGGCGTAATAATAACATAAATTGATTTTTTTTTCTTCTTCTTCTTCTTCTAAGCTAAGTCGGTATCTAAGTGTCGTGAGCCCGTGCAGTCTTATATGTTTTCAAAGTGATCGATTTGATTTCGCATTTTTGTGAGCATATGCCTATATTTTTACCATTAAAACAGACTTTTAAAAAAGTAGACAAGTATGCAACAATATAAAATACATTTCTATACTACCATAATGCTACCATGCATAATGTTTTACGTGTAATTTTACTTTGTCACTGATGTATACCTTGTAAAAGAAACTGCAATTCGGCTCTCGGGCCGCAAATGTTTTTTAATGAAATAAACCATTTAAAAAAAATTTAAAAAAAATGTTCGGTATTAAACACATAGCTTTTTTCAAATAGATAATCAGTATAAAAGCTGAAATAATGATACTTCGATCGTATTTCGTAAGAATCTCACTTTAAAATGTTGGGAGCCCCAAATTCGCCAAAAATTTGATGGCAAAATTTTAATTAAATTGTATCATAATGTGAAAGGGGATGTCGAGTCAAATAAATGTGTCTGAAGACAAAATTTGACATAATTTGGGTTTTCTGTTGTACGCATGCAGAAAACCTAAACAAGTGATCTTTTATTCTCTAATCAATATTCGACTTCGAACACAATTTTGTTTTGAAATTCCATGCAGAAATCGGGGAAGGGGGGGGGGGGTTGTCTCGTTTAATACGGTATAGGCCTACGGCGATGTGCCGCTCTAGGTAAAGGGTAACTTTTTTGGCAAAAAAAACCCTTAAACACAGGGTATGATTTAGTGCTGCAAATAAATCCCTAAAAGTGCCTCCACTTTTCAGATCTTGGCCTTAAAAATGTTGCGATCAAATTTTGTGGGCTAAAAGGCTCCGAACACAGTTTAAAGAAGGGCTTTAACACTCAAGGCAAAAATGCACGTAATATTATGCACGTTAATGAAACCAAAACAAGACATTTCAAGAATATGTCAGCGTAAGGTTAAACAGCTCCAGTGGCGGATCCAGGAGGGGGGGGGGTGCACAAAATCGCATGAGGTGAAATATATGAAAACGAGGGAGCGGCGGCGACCAAGCGGGGGTGGGTTTAGAAGCATTTGCAACTTTAGAACCACATTAGGCGCATTTTCAGGCCTTTCCTGGAGTAATAATGACGTAATTTGTTTTTCCTTCATTTTTTTCCTTTTCTCTTTTTCTTTCTTTTCTTTCTTTCCACTCCTTCCTCTTTTTTTTTCTTTTTTTTCTTCTCTTCCTTTCTTCTCTTCTCTTTCCTTTCTTTTCCCTTTCTTTTTTGTTCTTCTTTTCTTTCCCTTTCCCTCTCTCCCCCCACACCCTTTCCTCATTTTTCCCGACAGCAGCGCAATTCTATCCCGACAGGTGGAAGGGGGTGTCGCGCCCCCATGACCCTTTTAGCGACGACCCTGGTTGTTATTCCATTATTCTTTTCAAAGAAATAAAATTCTTCGTGCTCTCTCACCTCTCTTCTATCGTTGTTTAATTCTCTTTCAATTTATTTCCTATCTCTCTTCCCCCCTTTTTCCATCTCTTTTTGTTTTTGTTCTTCTTGTGGTTTTTTTTTTTTTTTTTTTTTTTTTTGGGGGGGGGGGGGGGCTTCACGCCTGGCAAGAGGGACCCCATATTATGCACACTGCAAAATTGCGTTCCCCCCCCCCCCGCCATTTTCCTGCCAAAAAAACCTTCTTATAATATCATCCCCCTTTCTTTTTTTTTATTTCTCATTATTTCCCCCCCCCCCCCCCTTTCTCTCCTTCGTCTTCGCCTTTCTTCCTTTTCCACCTTTTCTCTCCTCTCGCTTCTCTTTCAACCTTTCCTACTCCTTTTTCTCCTCTCCCCTTTTCTATCCTCCCTCTTTTCTTCTTCTTTCTCTCTTCCCTTTTGTTTCTTTTCCCCCTCCTTTTTCTCCCTTTTTCTTTTTCCCTCCCCCTTTTTTTGTACGGGGGGGGGGGGCACGTGCCCACTGTGCCCCCACTGCATCCGCCACTGAGAATGATTTCAAAAAGTACACAAAACCCTCACAGGTTTCATTTTTCATGTTATTTGGTCTGATCCGAGCTCTAACTGATATAGGTTCATTTGGGTAGGCTATGTTTTAAGTTTGATAGGGGTGCAAGGCCTTTCGACCCCCCCCCCCCCTTGATCCACATATTTTTGGCGGGATTAATAGCAACTGTTCCCCCTTTTCTTTTCTTCTTCCTGTTTTTGTTCCTTTTAGCTCTCCTCTTTGCGTCCCCTCCCCCCCCTCCCTCTTTTTGGGCGTGGGCGGGGGGGGGGGGGGGAGGTGGGGAGGCAAGGGCAACTTGTTGGCGTGAAAATAACAACTGATATCCCCCTTATTTTCTTTTCTTCTTCCTCTTTTTTCCTTCCCTTTATCTCCTCTTTTCCTTTTTTCTTTCCCTTTCCTTCCTTCTCTCTTATTTTTTGACGGGGGGGGGGGGGGCGGGCAGGGCCCGCTGCCCCCCCCCCCCTGGATCCGCGTCTGCTAACACATGCAAACTTTTCTCTGCATATGATATTTCAGTCGACCCATCCATTTCTTTTTATCTAAAATAATTTACTGGCCTCTGTCATGACTGCTTTTTCCTGCTCTCATCACTGGTACAGTAGGATATTAAAAATGAATACCTTTGTAGTCTTGTTGGACAAAAATCCACAAGGCCATTAGGCAATTACCTGATTAATATGCTAGTTAGGTTAATTATGCTAGCAAGGCTAATTATGGTTCGTTCAACGTGATTAACCTCCGAGATAAATATTGGTTGTCATAACGAAAATACACATAAAAATTGTCATTCCCGATTTTTCTGGATAAAACTAGACCTATATCAATAAATACCAATATGTAAATTAACTAATTATGTTAATTAGGCTAATTGTACTACGTCTAAATAGAATATCTTCTCATGAATTAATGTGTTGTCTTTAAAAAGTGATTTACAATGTTGCATTGCACCATTTTCACGCTTTCTAGATAAACAATGAGAATGAAGTACATATGAATCAGCTCATTATGCTAAGTATGCTATTTAAGACGATAATAAATCAATTGTAATATGAACTGAATATTAGCCTTCCTCTCATCACGGTCTTGGGTGGTTGACTTTCAAATCATGTTATCAAAATTTATTCTTGTGTTGCCCATTCATAGAAGACATATTTCATTTCTCAACATATTTATGCATGTGAGGGGAAAGGAAACTTAGCCCTTTGACCTTCAGCCATTTTCTCACAATTTTACTGATCAGAATGTGGAGGTGTAGTAGGCCTACTACTATGCATAGCTTGTGACTCGGTCTCCTACATAGGGTCTCTATTTTAACATCCTATCCAAGGGATAGGGTGTTTTCCACGGTAACATCATGTTCATATAGGGACAATAAGTGTCTATTTTCCATTCTCATAAGTGCCCTTTTAAATTTTTAGTAAAAGCCCCTTTTTACTTTTGATAAGTGCCCCCTTCGCCTCTGATAATTGCCCTATTTAAATCTGGGAGGTGCCCCTTTTACTTTGACAAGTGCCCCTTTGCCTTTGTAAGAAGTGCCCTCCCCCTTTTAAATTGGATAAGAGCACCGTATATTTTAGATGTGCCCCTTCCCTTCCTGATAAGTGCTCTTTTCATCTCTGATGAATGTCCCTTAGTACCTCTAATAACTGCCCCTTTTCTTTTTAATTCATCCTCTTTTTCCTCCTTATAAGTCCCCCTTCTCATTATTACCCCTTTCTATCACAGATAGGGGCCCCTTTTATTTCAACATGTGCCTCTTTTTCTATTTAATAAGAGCCACTTCCACCCCTTCTCATAAAAGCCCCATTTCACCTCTGATAAATGCCCCGATTAAAATCTGATCGGTGCCCCTTTTCTTTCAACTAATACACATTTTCCTTTATTCTCATAAGTGCCCCTTTTCACCTCTGATAATTTCCCTTTCAACAATGATACGTGCCCTTTCACTTTCTAATAAGGGACCTATCCATCCCCTTTAAAATGCCCCCTTTCACCTCTTAAAAATGCCCCTATCAAAATTTGATCGGTGCCCATTTTCCGTCGACAAATTCCTATTTCCCATTTGTCTGGCGTGTGCCTCTTTTTATAAGTGCAAGAAGTGCCGAATTATCACCTCTATTAATTGCCCTGTGTACTTTGACACTGCTCCTTTTCTTTCCTAATAAGTGTCTTATCCCTTATTCAAGTGTTACCCACTATTTCTGTATTGTTTGACGTTTTTCATCTGTTTTTACCTTTTGTAATTATTGTGCAGTGATTTTTTTAATGATTATTGTTATCATGATGTATGTACGAACAAGAAAGAAAGAAAGTGTCCCCTATTACTGTGCCCCTAATTTCAGGCGACTAAGAGCGATTTTTCCCAAAAGCTCTCTCGCTCGCATTCATAGATGATATTATATATTATGTTACTTATGACATCTTATGAATTTAGAGGGAAGTGTATAAGACATTTTTTCTCACT